GATGGGGTGACGGTGAGACAGCGCTACAACAAAACATTGCACGTTTCCAAAGATGAGAAAATTGTTCCAGGAGACGGAGCGTGAGGGTGGAGAGCATGGGAGGCCGCTGCCCTGCAGTGATCCATGAGTCCCACGCAGGACTGCAGGCAGCGGCTCTCACTGCTGCTTTTCCATCTTGGTTGGTTGGGTTTGGGTTGTTTTGTTTTTGCAGGGTTCTTCCTTCCGGTCAGGTGTTTGCAGAGATAAGGAAGGAGCTGTTTGCCATCAGGTGACAGTTGCTGGGTCCCCTTCCCAATCGCTCTGATGCTATTTCACCTCCCGGTCCTTGAGGCTCAGAGGCAGAATGTGAGCGTGAGAAGTGGAGTCCATCAGCAGCAGCTGTTATGCCTCAATGATGTTCACTGAGGGTTTGTTTTTTGGGAACTGGGAGAGAGGAGACAAAGGAAGAGAAGGTGTATGGAAATAGCTGGGGAGGAAAAAAATACCCACGTTGGGTCCTAGCAGTGTGTGTGAGTTCTTACTGTGTAAAAGCGCTCGCTCCCATCCCCTGTTGGTTGTGAAGGTGTTGGCTTGATTTGTGGTGTCTGCTTGTAGGTGTGTGTGCATTAATGAGCCATCTCCAGTAATAAGGAAATGCAGTGCAGTGGGTGCTGGTGCCTGCAGTGTGGGGGATGCTCAGGCTGCTCATGGTGCTGCAGCGTTGGCATGCATGGAAGCGAAGGGGCCTTGCCTTCCTGCATCCCGGCTGGTGGTGGGGAGCTGCTGGGAGCTCCTGCCTGCTGCCCCCCCAGCACTCACCTTGCTGCGGAGCAGCCCCCCGCCCTGGTGCTCAGGGGTGCTGTTTTCCGAGGCGCTCTTGGCTTTCTCCTTGCTGTTGTTGGGCTCGTTGTCTTTGATGATGTCGTACTGCCTGCAGAACAGGGCGATCACCCCTGGTGGGGAGAAAGCATTAATGAGCACCCAGGAGCTGAGCCTGCAGAGCTCTGTGCCTCCTGGTGGAGATCACAGCATCATCCATGCTTGCTCCTTTCTAACAGAGCTCCTCAGCCCTCCGGCTGCTTCCTACACAAGTTCCTTGCTAAGGTGGTTACAAGGAGAGAAGCTTAAGGCAAGTGGGACGAGTGCTTTAAACCTATGTTAGCGTGGCGATAGCGCTGCCTGTGTGGTTGGGTGGGATCTTTGCTTTGCAAGCACAGGAGCTCCTGGAATTTCTGGTTGGTGGGAATGTTCCTTGTGGCCCTTTCCTCTGGGGGGATGTGGAGCTGGCAGATGCAGGGCAGGCACCCAGCCTGCCTGAGTGCAGTGTCAGCCTGGGGCTGCAGCGCAGCAGGGCAGCATCTGCAGCTATGTGACAGAGATGGCAGCAGAAACTGCCAGTGGAAATTTCCTCCCACACGCACAATGAGCACAGGAAGAGGAAAGCAGGGGCAGCCGTGACGAGGTGGGAAAGGCTGCAAAATCCCTGTTTTCCCCCTGACTTTGCTTCAAAAGTGTAATTCCTGTCTGAAGGGAATGGCGGTGGTAGTGGGTCCTTCACTGAGGTGCTGGTCTGAGTGTCAGGCTGTGCTACAATGGAGATGAATCGGTTCTTCTGTCACTTTGTGTAATTAGTCGTGATCGTTTTTACTGGCCGGGCTCTTAAATTGGGATGTGCAGAGATAAAAGGTGACTTAAATGCCAAAAAGACTCTGGGCTGGAGGATTTTTGTAACCTCAATTTAGGCCTAATTCGGTGATCATCTCTAGCAATAATTGCCTTCCAGTCCCTGCAGATGTGAACAGCCACGCATGATCAGCTCAGGACTTTTCCAGTTGTCTCTTATGGGTCACAGATTTGCCCCTGTGCTCATTTCCCAGCCTGGTGGTTCCCTTGGGTTGCCTGGGCCGCCCCCAGGCGCTCTGTGAGCGTGGAGCTGCTCTGCCTCGAGAATGTTTGGCACTGGGAGGCAGCAGCAGCTGAGTGGCGGCCTGGGGAGGCTGCGGCTCGAAATAGAAAACAAACATGCAAATGCAAACTGTTTCTTCCCCATCAACTCATGCGTGTGATTTCCAAATGGAAAGGGCTGGTGATGCACAGCGCCAATGGGGTCGGGGCGTTTTTCCTCTCCCTTCCTGCTGCCTTAAAGCATAGGATTGAGGTCTGTCCTGAGCACAGTCTGGAATGTATTGGTATCTATTGAAATGTGATCCCAAACCCTCGTTGGAGAACTGTTTTCTGTGGAAATGCCGTATCTCTGTACTTGCTACAAAAAGCCATAGTGAGAGATCCTCGTATTGGAGGAGTGCATCTGTTTGGTGCTCTGCTCCAAACCACCTTCTGGGCACTGCTTTCAGTGCTACTTTTCAGCTCACCCTCCTTCCCCTCCATCCCAACCTTGCACAGACTTTTCCTTCCTTTTGGTTTATGTGCTTCTGCTAACGTTCTCCTATTTCATGTTAAATGCTGCTCTGTATGTTTAGTACAGAATTTGGAGAGGGTCTGGGCTTATCAGTGTTTGGATGTTGGGAGCCATTTGTTCTTTACGTGCTTCTTTTGTTTCAATTGCTTTTGCAGTCAGTTTTAGTGTAAATATAATAGTTGGCATCGAGGGGGGACTCCTGGCTCTGGGGTGTCTGAACTTTGGCAGAACTCGTCAGGGAATTTCTGTTTTGCATGAGAGTTGAGGTCATAATAAGGCAGATAACTGTGGCCTGCGCTGTCTGAAGGGCTCCAGGCGTCCTGGTGAGGGCTGATGGCGTTAGCATCAGTGCTTCCTGGAAAAATGGAGCTTGCAGGATTGGCTGTGCTGAATTAGACGACTGGTTCATCAAGTCTATCATCTGCGTGGTGCTGTGCCAGCCCAGAGCACCGATTCACCTGATTTCAGCTCCTGGTGTGCAGGGGGGGCGCACACACAGGGCAGGGAACGACGAGCTTGGACAGAGAGAAGGAACTGACCTGCCCACATAAACAACACCACCACAATGATGAGTATTTCGCCTGCGCGCAGCTGTTGGTTTTTCTTCGCCATCTCCTTCATTGTCACCTCATCTGCACGGAGGGAAAAAGAGATGATGAAGCGCCAGACTTGGGCTCAGCCGTGGCCCTGGCTCAGCGCCCCAGGAGCGCCGCCGCTGCCCCGCGCTCAGCCCTGCTGGCAGGAGATGGGGAGAGGGAGGAGAAGTGAATGGGGACGGGCTGACCGCGCTGCCTGGCTCTGCGGCGGCTCGCTCTGCTCTCTGCTGGAGCCGGCTGTGCCTGTCACAACGCCTCGCATGCTTCAGCAGTTCTGTCCCAGCTCGGCACAAGGAGCCAGGCGCGGTTTTTCTCAGCGGAGCTGTGGGGCTTGGGGATGCGCTGAGACTTTTTGCAGGGCGTAATGCACCTCCTCGCCTTCAAAGCACTAAGAGGATTACAGCTTAGGCCTCCAGGGAGGGGAGCAGTGCTCCTCTTAGTGCTTTCAGATGAATGGTAATTCTGTGTTTACAGACACCAAACCATTTCGGCAGAAAGAGTCAAGAACTCGCAGCATCCCAGGAACCGCGGCCAACAGCCCTGCAGCAGGCTGAGCGCTGGGTCAGCAGTAACCCCTGCGGTCCCAATCCCTGTGCTCCCCAGCCCTGTCTGCAGCAGAGATTCTTCCTGTGAGCAAACTTTCCCCATCTGGTTTGGCTTAAGGGAAATGAGGGAAGGAGCTGCTGGGCAGAAATCGCCCGATCTCATCCATGGAGGTACTCAAAACCCAACTGGATGTGGTCCTGGACCTCCAGCTCTGGTTCAGCCTCTTTCAGCAGAGGTTGGACCAGGTGATCTCAGTTGGTCCCATCCAACCTCAGCATTTCTGTGATTTGGCATCAACTTTTGAAATATAAGAAAATCGGCATTCCCGACTTGTAAGAATGCAGGGCACTCTGTTCCCAGGCTGGAAACCTCCTTGCTTTGCCCATTAAATCTGAAATAGAGGAGTGGACAGCCAGCCTTTGGCAGTAGTGGCTGCTGACCTCTTGGTGCTATTTTGCTGACGCGAAGGAACCTCATCTTCAGCTTAGATGCGTGCGGTCGCTTTCAGTGCTGGGGTGTAAAGTGCATCAGGATGCTCACGCAGGAGTTTGTTTATGCTGGGCTCAGCCCTGACAGCAGCACAACCTCAGCGTCTCATTGCCTGCTGGGAATGCTCAGAGCTTCCCACGTGTCTGTGCAGGGCTGTCAGAGGGCCTCAACCCTGTGTGCAACTAACCCAGCTGTTCTCAGTGCACAGCGTCCATCCTTCCTCCCTCAGAGCCCTGCGCTGACTGGGGGCCACATGGAACTCACCCACACTTGCCTTTATTTTTAGAAGCCAGTTTCTCAGCTTCCCTGGGGGTCTTGAAGAGGACTGGCTCACTGGCAGGGCTCTGGCCTTGGATGCTGATGGCCTGGACATGCACAATGTACTCAGTGTCCTCCTCTAGGTCCCAGAGGGCACAGGAGCGGGTGGTGGTGTTCACCTCCTGGATGAAGCGCAGCATCCGCACGTCCTTCTTCTGGAAGCCGAGAGAGGAGAGCACAGAGTGGCGGAGGGACCTCGTGTGTGCACTGCTGGTGTCTGAAACCACTGCTTCCTGCCCTGTCCACCATGGGCACGGAGACCTCTGCAGCGAGCAGCACAGCGAGCGCTGCTGCAAGGAGGATGGGAAGCGAGTTCCCCCCCGAGACCATGGGACAGGACGAGAAGGAATGGCTCACACTGCGATGAGAGAGTTTGGAAACTGAGGGGCCCTGGGGGAAAATGAATGTGGGAAAAAACTGGGGAACAATAGGCATCGTACCTGCTGGGAAATGGCAAATCCGATGACAACTTCATCCTCCAGAACGTCCCAAGTCACTACGGCTGAGTTGGCTTTCAGGTGTTTGACTGTGACATTGACCGGAGCCGACGGGCTGTCTGCAAGGAGGGACACAGAGCTGCAGCAGGAGATGGAGTGAGGGCAAGGAGCGGGGAGGGACCGGGGGAGCAGAAGGAAACGTGAGGTCTGGCCGTGGTCTGAGGCATGAGAAACTGAGCTGCACATGGCCTTCCTGCCAGCAGCTCTGAGCGTGAGACCTGGAAATGGCAGATCTACATCTCAATTACCAGCAAGGCTCTGGAGCTCTCTGCTGAGGGTGAGTGGCGTTGGGCACACGGAATATCTGCACACACCCCCCAAAACAATCTGAGGATGTCTGAGCACTGATGAGCTCACACATCTCCTGTCTCTCAGCCACGTGCCGTGTTTTCTCTGCTGTGTCCCATTACAGTCTGACAGCGACAGCTGGGAGGAAATGCAGAATCTGTCTGGGAGGCATGAAAGCAGAATGGAGAGCTCTGGAGGGTGGAAATTCAGAGGTAGTAAACAGGGACGTTCTTTTTGCTTGTCCTCGTGAGCTTGTCAGAATTTTTTTGTACACGTTTTTGTATTTTGCACACAGCTGATGGGCTCTCTCAGATGGTCAGAGGATTTTCCCCACCTTCCCCTCTATCCACTCACTGCTGCCAGAACAGCACACACTGCAGCAGCCCTTGATGGACTGCTGTGATGTGGAAGGGCCAAGCCATGAACCAAAGGTGGTAAATGCTGCCCGGATTGCTCACAGCGCCAGGAGGTCGGTATGGTGAGAATGGGCCACATTTCCTTGCATCAAAGAGTAACACTTCTCTTTTTAACCATTGCAGGTTGCTGCCCTTCTGAGCTTGAGGTCAACCCCATCAGAAGGAGACGTGTGCACATCTCCAGTGACACCTGTTGGGTTTATAGTCAGCCCCGGATGCCTGAATGTGGCTGAAAATGCTCCGGCCGGAGCCTCAGTGCCAACTGGCAGCTGGCCTCGCTCCTGGTGAGCATTTCCTTGGGAAGGGAGAGAATAAGGGAGCGCAGGACACCTCAGTGAAGGTCAGCACTGCTCTCTCATCCGCTGTGCAATGGGACCCCAAGGCTCAGCCCGACGCTGCTCCCCTCCCAAGGCGGCTCCTCGCCATCCCCATCCCCACGTGCTGACCAGAGGACCATCTAATTTTAGCAGTCAGCAGACGGAATGCACAGGGAAGGGCTGTGAGTCATGGCTGATGAATGTGCTGGAACACACGGGGGGCGCGGTGGGGCTGGAAGGTGACAGACAAAGCAGTGGGGCTGCAGCCGGGCACCTCGCCCCGCTCCCAGCGCAGCTGTGCTGCTAAATCCCAGCAGGGTCGCCTTGCCGAGGTATTTTTAGGAGGAGTCGCCCAGTGTGGATTGAGGAAGGCTTTGGAGAGAGAGGAATTAACCTTGTGGGGAGCAGGGAGCAGAAGAAGCTTCTCATGGGGAAAAGGGAACGCGGTGCAGCGCTGCGTCCCCACTGAGATGTGTGACCTTGGGGGGGAGGGGGGCACAGCACAAAGAACGCCAAAGTTTCTGTCCTGCTGACACAGAGCGTGGGGGAGGTGGGAATGCGAAGCAAGGTGAAAGAGGAGCCTTGGGGAGGTGGGAAGCAGTTGGCAGAGCTGCAGCCGATGCCTGGAGCCTGCGGAGCAGAACGGAGCGCGGGCAGCAGCTACAGCTGGGAGATAACAGCAATATCCAGATCTGAGCGTCTCTCCTTCACTACTACAGAGCAGCAGCGGCTACACATAAATCAGAGGTGCCAAATCAGTACGGCAGTGATATGAGAATGCAGCACAGCGTTTGTCAGAAGTACAAAGCCAGGAAGATGAGTTCCCCGCTCCCAGGGCTGAATGAAGCATTGGCGACCAAAATCCCAATCCGTGAGGACGCTCTTCTCCCGCTCCCAGGAGGTTTGTGATGGGATCACGGCTTCCCCAGATCTGCTCAGTGCTCTGAGATGCTCTGCTGGTGAGGCTCCAGCTGCGCCCACGGAGCTGAGCGCTGTGGTTTCTGCTTCCTCGCTGGATCAGGGGCTCAGCGCCTCCCGCAGGGCCGTGGGCTGCTGGATCCCAAGGTTCCTTTGTGCCTGGCTGTGACTCCTGGGAGCTGCTGCTGTGTGGGGGCAGTGGGCTGGGCAGCCCTACAGGTGATTCCTGGCAGCATGGAGCACGCTGTGCATCAAACCTTCCTCCTGTGTGTTTACTGAGTGCCCCTTCCCTGCCTGCTCCATACAGAACTCATGGTGCAAGATTTCTGGTTAGCAGTGCGGCTCCACCACGGCTCGGGGCCTGCAGCGCCTTCTGGAGCAAATCATGTATTGCCAAAAGTCAGAGCGTGGCCCATTTGGAGCTGGAGCTGCGTGCTTGGCTGAGGCAATGCTCTCAGTTTCATGTCAGCATCCCCCTGTTGTGATGGGGCCGTGACTGAATGAAAACGAGGTGGGTTTTGGTGAGGAATGGCTGCTCCACAACCAATCGTGCTTTGCCTCTGCCTTGTTTCCCATCCTCAAGGAACCTCTGTGAGGCCCTTTCAGCAGGTGTGGGTTGGGACCATCTCTGTGCAGTGAGGAGTTGTGAGAGGCAAAGATTACCCTTAATCCTTTCTTAGTGCTGGGAATTCCTTCTGGCCTCTCATTAAACGCTCTGCTGATTGTTAATGGACTTTCATTTGGGAGAGAGGGGGAAAAAATCTAACGCAACTACTTCAGAGCTTTGGGTTGATTCCTCCCTCGCTTTTTGCTGTTGGTGCAACACGAGGAACAGCAAACCAGCCAGCTGTGCAGGAACACCTGCCCTCATGGTGACTGCTGCAGAGCTGCGTGGGACACGTCTGTCCCCATCCCGCCGCTGCCACATCTGCTGCTTGTGAGCTTGGAAGTGCCTGGAGTCAAAAGCTTCCAAGGTGGGCAGGGCTAAGGCAATGACACGATGTGTGTTGGTTCACTGAGCCCCCCTTCCCCACGCAGCTCCTGTTGTGCACAGGGGGTCGCATCGGAGCATCCAACCCTGGCAGCTCTGTGCTCCTGCAGTGCGGCCTCTCCTGCAGACAGAGGGATGGAGGGGGGCAACCTGCGAGGGGAAGAAGCATCGCTACGCTCTGGTGTGATGCTCTGCAAAGCACCGCTGCCTGCCCATCGGGTGTGAGCACAAAGCCCTGCTTTTACTGCGTTTGGAGCCGCTCTCTGCTCTCCCAGCATGGCTCCCTTCACTGGATGTAATGGCTTGTCAGCTTTATGGGGTATGTAGGCAGGCTGGCGCGCCGTTCAGCTTCCCTGAGTGCTTTAATGAGGAGAGCCTGGGGGGCAGCGGGAGGGAGTGGGGCACGGCGCAGCTCTGTGCCCATTGAGTGGGGCTGTGTGGGAGCACTGCAGCCTTGGAGAACACAAAGAGCAGCCCCTGGTGCCTCCCTTTGGGACAAAGGGAATTATTTCCTGCTGCTCGCCCACTCCTGCAGGCAGCACGTTAGCAGGCAGCCCCAGCTCTGTGCCTGGTGGTGATGCTCGCTGTGCTCGGCCTCGGGTGTTGTTCTGGGTGGGAGGAATGGGGCACATCTGCCTTGTGGCCATCGCTGCCCCGGTGAATGTTGGTGCTGCCCAACCTCTGTCTGTATCCCTACTCAGTGCTGGGTCATTGTGGTGTTTTATCTGGGAACCAAACATCCCAGCAGCGTTGGTGACATCAGAGCAGTGCTGGCCGGGGGGTGGCTGAGCACCCCAGGCTTTGTACCCAGAGCTCTGGCTGCTCCCATGCCCAACACCTGGGTTTTTACTGCATGCATAAAGATCTGCGTGTTTCGCTGCTCCATGCATTTATGCTTTTAACTGAATTATGCTTGAGTCAGATCTTAATTTGGCTTCTGGGTGCTTTATAAGACAGGAGGGGTTTATTAAACAATCAATGCCAAATGAGGCCACACACAGCACCAGCACACAGGCACAGCCCCATGACGGTCTGAGTCCTGCCGTGGTGCTGTGCACGGTGTGTGTGCGAGCAAAGTGCCCTGCAGCAGCCCTCTCTGTCCTCCCTCTGCACGTTCCCAGCAGGAGACAGCACTCAGAACAAGACAGCACAGCACCATCTCTGCTGGGAATCTGACACTTGGGTCAGAAACCTCCACACCGCAATTAAATCTCTCCTACACTGAAAGCAGAAATCAATACGGTGCTTACGCCACTCGTCAGCTGGCCAGGAATCTCTGTGGCCCTCAGGAGCTGGGAAGGGGCTGCAAAGAAGTGCTGGAACTGCTGCTGTGCAGAGCTGCTGTGTGGGTCCTGCACGTGGTCTGGCCGCACCGTGGGCTCTGGGCTGGAGCTGCGCTGGGGCTGAAGCCTCTCCTGCTCTGGTTTCTTTCTGGTTTCTTTCCCTCCACTCCACAGCTCTGCCTTTTGCCAGCCCCACAGTGCCAGAAGGGGAATTTACACCATTTCCTATGGGTCATTGCAGGGATGGCAGCTTTTGGCCTTAACGGTGCATTCTTTGACAGCTGCCTGTGGGAGCTCTGGGTGCAAGGGGGGGAGAGCTGAACCCCGCTGGGGCTGGGTGCCCCTCTGTGAGTCTCCCTGATGCTTCTCTGCTCAACGGCCTCATGGCCACGTGCTCACACTGCCTCCACCTCCGTGTGACCTTGGGATGACCACGCCATGCCCACGTCCCTTTTGTCCCTACCTGTACCCTCAACTCCTGGCCCATACAGAGCTGGGAGGAGCAGCCCAAGGTCACGCAGCTTCACACACCCGGAACCTTTGGGGTCACATCCCCGCTGCACAGCACAGCTGCCAGCAGGGCTGCGCTGCCCAAAACCTCACAGGGACCCAATGGCCACAGCCACTGCTGGGGAGACGCAGGCAGAGGCTGTGATGGGCAGAGACACAGCGCTGTGTTTACTCTCCATCACTGGCTGAGGTGATTCAAGGATAAGGAAGAGCAGGGGAAGTGTCCCAGTTTGCAGGAAATCAGGAAGGCCAATTGCAGATGCGTTCTTTTCTCCATCATTCTCTCCTTTTAGGAATGTTTTGTTCATCTCCCCGTCTGTCCCTTCAGCACACTGACGTCTGGCCAAGGATGTGTGTGTCAAACCCAGCAGCGTCCCGAGGGGATCCTGGAGCTCCAGTGTGGGTGGGCTGTGGGTGGCTGTAACCCCACAGCTAACAGGGCCACAGAGCACAGGAATTTCCACTCCCTGGAGCCGTGCGTGCTGACAGTTACCCACAGCCTCCGGGAATGCGAGCTATCCGGGCGTTCTGCAAATCAAAGCAGCTGCTCCATCAGACTCCGCAGCCTCCGTGCCGAGCAGACAGAGCCGGCAGGGCCGGGGCCGGGGCCGAGGGCTCACGGGCAGCTCCCAGCAGCGCTGCTGAGACGTGGCACCTGCTGGGCACTGAGGCGAAGGTACAGCTTGGCTGGAGCAGGACCCGAGTGTCTCTTGCTTGTGTCAAAAACAGGACAAACCCCCGGGGAGCTCCATCCTCCCCTTGGAGGAGCCGATCGCCTGGAACCGTCACGAGGCCGGGACGCTCCGTGCCCCACAGGACAGCTCACAGGAGCTCTCCGCTGCCGACACGCGTGGGCACCGCGCCGCCGCTCCGCCCGCCGCTCCGCTCCGCTCCGTGAGCCGCAGCCGCAGGGCCGCTCCGCACCCGGTAACCGGCGGTGTCCCGGCGCCCGACTCCCCCCACGACCGCGCTTCCCCCGCCGCTCCCCGGGTCCCGGCGGCCGTTACCTGCCTCCACCGGCCGCAGACCGGCGTAGCTGAAGCAAAGCAGGAGCGCGGCGCCGGTGCAGCCCAGGAAGGGCTCCATCCCCCGCGGCCGCCGCGCCGCGCCGGGCCGAGCCGCTCCGGGCCGGCGTCCCGCGGGCGCGGCGGCGCCGTTCAGCACCGCGGAGAGCTCCGGGGCCCGGTGCCGGCGGGGCCGCCCGGTTCGGCCGGGGGCGGCGGCGGGGCTCGGCGGCCCTCGGCAGCGCGGCTCGGTTCGGCTCGGCTCGGCCGGGAGGCGGCCCCGCCGAGCCCCGGCTCCGCCCGCTGCAGCGCTGGGCAGCCCCGCTCCGGTCCCTCCCCCGGCCCGGGGGCGGCTCGGCCCCCGCCCCGCCCGGCCGCGCCGTCTGCCTCAGTTTCCCCCCGGCGGATCCGGGAGCCCTCGGCCCGAACCGCCCCCGGGCCGCTCCCCACCGCTGGAAGGAGCAGACGGGGCCCGTCCCCGTGAGACCCCCCGCGGGTGCATGGCAGCGGTGACATCTCACCATCAGGGCTTCGCGCAGCCCCTGCGTGTCACCGGGCTCTGAATTCAGAGGTAATGAGCGCTAGATGAGCTGTTTGAATTAGCTGTGCCTTTAGGTTAATTAAACTGTCAGCGCTCTGGCTTATGGTGATCTGCTGGAGGAATCGGCTCAGCCACCGTGCTGCACGGCAGCGATTGGGCCTCACTGAGCCCTGTGTGCTCTCAGATGCAGCCGTAAATGTGTCTGACCCCGCCGTGTGTCGGGCAGCATCCCCCAGGATCTGCTCTGCTATCTCTGATATCTCTCCTGCACTGCTGTGAGTGCAGCGTGGCCGGTGGGCTCCCAGGAGCATCTGCATGGCGCTCGTGGTTACACCAAGCACAGTCCTGACAGACTGAAATCGAGCAGCACTGTGTCCCTGCTCTGCACATGGTTTGCTCTGCTTTCCCCTCCTCATCTCCCGGCGTGGGACTGGGCCCATCTTCCCCACCACAACTGCCTGCTCCCCACAGCAACGCCTCCATTGCTCCATTGCCAGGCACGAGGCTGAGCAGAAGCAGCACCACGTGCAGCTGAGTCCGGCTGCCTGCTGAGACACGAAGTGGTGATCGCAGCTCCCAGCACCGGCATTTATCTGCCTTCATTTCTCTGCAGGGACTCCCAAATCCCCAACAGCTGCGTGGTGCAGGGATTGTTGCCCACATCTCCCAGCAGAGGCTGATCCAGACAGAGCCGCTGCAGCAGGGAGCAGTGAGGCACAGCTGGGGGAGGTGGGAGCGCTTCTCCTCAGTCCAACCGGGGGCACACAGGGGCACACACTGCTCCCAGCCCTGCTTCACCCATTCAATTGAACTCAAACTCTCTGCCTGTAATACAGCTGAGGGACTCCCTGCAATCCCCAAAGGAAGGAGCCACCGGGGCTGGAGCCGTCCCACACCAGCAATGAGCCCCAGCTGTTCCCCCTCACCCAGCACCAGGAGGCTCCTGCAGGAAGGCTGTGATGTGTTCTGGTATTTTTCCAGAAGATAAAGACTGCATGGTTGCCTGTTTTTTCCCTGTTTTTCCCTGCTTTTTCCTTCCCTCCCTTTCCAAATACAAGAACAACGTTTGTTCTTTCCAACATCTGCCTCCACTGGTGGGTTCCACTGCGCTGCTTCCATCCCTTTGTCCCCTTTCCTCCCCCACCCCTGGGGAGGCTTTTGGGGTGCTCCGGCTCTGCTGCCTGTAGCTCTGTTTCCACGGAGCCTCCTCAGCCCCCCCAGTCCCAGCACTGCAATATTCAAATCACGCAACGCTCATCATGTCTTCAGTGCAGCAATTAAGTCGCAGCTCTAATTAAGCATTTAAGCACACGACGCACTCGTCTTCCATCTCCATCCCCAGACGGACACCAGGGAGGCCACGGCCATCCCTGTTCTGCTCCAGCTCGGGACCGCAGGAGCTGCAGGGGCGCTGCAGTCAGGATGCTGCAGGTCTGGCGTGAGCGCACCTGGGAGTGCCGCGTCCCGGGGGATACCGAGCACGGGACAGCCTTCGGCTCCTGGAGATGCTGCCCGGTAAAGAGCTCTGCGCATCGCGGAGGGACGGAGCGGCGCCCCCGGGCCACGCCGCGCACCGCCACGGGCCGCTGCTGCCACCTGCCGGCACCCGTACCGGGCCCGCCCCGCGCCCACACGTGACCGCCGGTTGCTACTCACGGGGGGGGGAGCGGGGCAGCGAGGGGGGCGCCGGCTGGAGCTGGAGGGGAGCTGCGGGGCGTGAAATCCGCACCCGAACCCCTGCGGCGGTGCCACGCAGGACCCGGAGCTCCCGAGGCGCCCATAGCGGGGCGAGGCGCCGCCAGAGGGAGCCCGAGGGACGCGTGGAGGCGGCGCTGGTGGCGCTGGTGATACTGGTGGTACTGGTGGCACTGGTGGCGATGTTGAACACCTCTGGCCTTTAGGGGCTGTGGGATTGAAGGACGAATCCAAGCCCACCGCCCTCTCGGTGTCTCCCTCACCCCGCCGCCCTCCTCCCCTGTCCCTGCACACTGCTGGGATGGCAGTGGCACCTCCCAGCCCTCTGGCCCTGCCATGGCGTGTGCTGCAGCCCCAGAGCTGGCGCTGAGTGCAGCCCAACCGCCTGCAACACTGAGCCCCGAGGCGTGGAGAAACGGGGGCAGAGTGGAGCCGGGAGCCCCCGCTGCTCCTGCAGCCCCTGCTTGGAAAACCAAGCGCCAAGAACCCGGAGCTCATGCATTCCTGCCCTGCTGTCACTGGGATCTGGGGGACTGCTTGTGCCCAGGTGCCCCAAAACACGGCCCTGCCCTGTGTCCCAGCACACCTGAGCACGTGTCCCACTGCCATCACACGTGTGCCCCTTGGGAACTGGCACACGGCCCTGGGAGCCCCACTCACCTCAGCAAGGTGAGTGCCCTGGGACAGTACCAGGACATGGGGGTGGGGACGTGGGGACATGGGATGAAGCCACTCGGTTATGAAACATCCCTGCATCCCCATGGCTCTAAGTCAAGATTTAGTGAGCGAGCGGCTCCTGATCCAGATGAGATCGGGCATCACAAAGGGCTTTGTATTCCAGGAAGCCTATTAGAGATTTAAATTATACAAATGGGCTTTTTACCAAAGATCCTCATTATCTGGGCATTTGCATTTAATCCTCAGCTATCCCTGCAGCCCCGGCCCTGCGCTCTGCTCACCTTCACCGCGTCCTCCAGGGCTGAGCGGGGCGAGGGGATACAGACGAGCTGTGGGGTCAGCAGAGCCAAGGGCAAGGGGCCGTGGGGAATGGGACAAGGCAGGGAAGGAGGAGCAGATGAAGGGGATCCCATAACGTCTCTGCCCAGCGAGGGGCCGGCATCGCAGCACAGCCCGTGGTCGTCTCTGCTCCTCTTCCCTGCGGCATCCCACAGTGCCTGAGAGCTGCAGGGCAAAAGCAGGGAGTGCTGGGGATGGAGGAATGGGGTACAGAGGGCAGGGGATGGGCCATTGACCCCCAGCCAGGGACCTGGTACACTGCAGGGGGTTTGATGGTACAGCGTGGTCCTGCCCGCGCCCCGCATTATCCTCTCCCTCCTGTGATCCATTTCAGTGTGGGGGATTAGGTGGTTTTAGGGCCTGGTTTGAGTTAAATGGGATGCTTTCAAATCATCCTGCGTCAGTTGTGCCCTCTGTCACTCATACAGAGGGGGATTAAAATAGATATGAAGATTATTGGAGGGGAAAAGGCACCCCCACCTGCAGGGAGCTGCCAGCAGCACCCAGCACACAGGGAGCCTTTGTGCCCCACAGCACTATTTCCTCCTCTTCCTCACCTTGCTGCTCACACCAAAGCCCCATTTGCAATCCTTTAGCCCTTTCCTTTCACCTTTCCTGAATGTCCTCCTGCTTTCATCACCATTTCTGTGTTACCAGCCCAGACCCATCCCACAGCACCCTTGAGCTCAGTGCTCACGGCTGTTTAAAAGGAGAGAAGAGCACTAAGAAACCAATCTTGCTTTTAACATCAGCAATTGCTTCTTCCTGCAAGGTCCCCATGTGGTGGTAGAGGTGTCCCCAGCCACGGGTTGGGCTGTCCCTCACAGATCCAGGGAAATGGAGCCCCAGCTCCCTGCCTGGACCCTTCTCAAACTCCCAAAACGGAGCCAGGGCTGTGGATTTAATCACTTTATGCATATTTATTTGTGGAATTCGGAGAAGAGTGCCTCTTCCTCCCATCTGCCCTTACCATCTGCTCCCCGCGGTGTTTCGGAACAATCCCAGGCTTTGCCAATTGATGGAGAGGTGCAGAAAGGCAGGAAAACCCGTGGGGATGTCGCTCCGTCTGGGCAGCAGTTGGCTCTGCGGGCGCCTTTTCCTGGTGCAGGGGCAGCTGCTTTGCTCCATCGCCTGAGCGGTGACCCCTGAGATGTGCCCACCTCCCGGATCCCACCCCAAATGTCCCCTTTCTACTCCAAAGCACCTGGCTGGGCACCACTTGGGCCAGCAGGGCGGTGATGGAGAAGCCCGTGCCCAGGAGCTGGCGATGCACAATAGGAGCTGCCCATGGCCTCCAATTCCTCCATCGCTGTGGGGTTCTGGGGCTGCGGCTCCTTCTGAGGGGATGGGGGGGTTGGCGGATGAGCTGGGAGGGGTGGTGGAGAGAGCGGTGCCCCAAGGAGAGGGCCGTGCACAGAGGCTGTTTGTGCTCTTGCTGCAGCCCCATCCCATCCACCACGGAGCAGAATCGCACCCTGTGCGACAGCCGAGTGATTTTTACAAAAGTGCCCTTGAAAACCTCTCCAGGGCCACATGAAAGCGCCCGCCTGGGGCTGCAGGCACCTGAGCCACCGATGGGCTCGCAGGAGTCCCAGCGCTCCCAGTACCGGTCCAGCGCTGTGGCAGCCCTCGCAAGAGCAGCCCGAAGCTGTGGGTTCGGCAGTGCCCGAGGGGGGGGTGCGGGGCTTCGCGGCGGGTGGGGCAGCCCGGGGCGGGCGGGGGCTGACTGCAGCCGGTGCCCGCCGTGCCCCCCCGTGCCCCCCCGGTGCCGGTGCCGCCCCGTAGCCCCGCGCTGCGGCGGGCACAGCCGGAGGGCGCTCCCCGTTGGCGCACAGCGGCGGCGTTGGAGGCTCTTCCCGGGCAGGTAGGGGGCGGCGGGACCGGGGGGAACCGGGGGGAGATGGGGGGAACGGGGACAGCATCAGGCTCAGCCTTGCGGGTGCGTCCCTCTTTGCCGGTGGCTGCAGAGCCCCCGCCCCGGGGGCTTCCCGGTCCGCCCGTACCCCGCAGCACCTTCCTGCGGAGGTCCCCCGATGCCTCCCACCGCGGGGGCACCAGCCCTTGGACGGGGGGTCCCTGCAGCCCCCTCCCTGGGGGGGTTTCCCTGTGGATCCCTCCTGCCCCAGATGCATCTTCCCTGGGGGTCCCCTCCGTCCTTCCTCCCCCCCCCCCAGCTGTGCCCATTTTCAGAGACTGCACAAAGCCCTGACGCTGAGCTGCAACGCTCCACAGTGAGGGAGATGGAGAGCGGTTGTGGGTCCCACAGTCTCTGGAGGGAGTCCCTATGGGGTTCTTTGTCATGGGGAATCCTGTGCACCTTTATCTCAAAGGAAGGGGGGTTGGGGTCTGGGGGGTTGGGGCAGTGGTACTCTGGGCACCGCAGACACCCCCACCCCTCCCACCCCTCACTGGCGTCCCCACTGGGCACCCAGGTGCAGGGAGGGGGCCGTGGCTGAAAGGGGACACTGTGTCTCCCGGCTCTCCCCGGAGCTCTGGAGCCGTCCAGAGGCACCAAGCACAAACGGAGAGGTCGGAGGCACCAAAAATAACCCCCCCTGAGGGAGCTGACCCAGATCCATTCAGATCTGCACCCAGAGCCCTCCGCCGGGGCCGAATCCCCTCCTCCGCATTGCTGTGCCTTCCTGATGCCACCCATATATCACCCAGTATATTATGCAAATGACCCATCAGGGCGTATTACCCAAAGGGGGGGGGGCTGGCGCCGCGCTGCGTTGTCCCTGGGGCTGCCACCAGCAGCTCAGAGGGGGACGGCGGCATGGAGGGATCAGCATCGGTGCACATCTCCGTGCGGGTGCCCGGGGGCTGCCGGGGAGCGCTGCCCCATCCCTCTCCCCTCCTGTAGCTCTCAGGGACCCGCGCAGGGCCAGGCGCTCCTCCCTTGGGGTCGGCGTGCCCAGCAGCATGGGGAAGCAGAACAGCAAACTGCGCCCCGAGATGCTCCAGGACCTGCGGGAAAACACCGAGTTCTCCGACCTGGAGCTGCAGGGCTGGTACAAGGGCTTCCTGAAGGACTGTCCCTCGGGCATCCTCAACGTGGAGGAGTTCAAGAAGATCTACGCCAACTTCTTCCCCTACGGCGACGCCTCCAAGTTTGCTGAGCACGTCTTCCGCACCTTCGACACCAACGGCGACGGCACCATCGACTTCCGAGAGTTCATCATTGCGCTGAGCGTCACCTCCCGCGGGAAGCTGGAGCAGAAGCTCATGTGGGCCTTCAGCATGTACGACCTGGATGGCAACGGCTACATCAGCCGGGAGGAGATGCTGGAGATCGTGCAGGTACGCGGTGCCCGCGGTGGTCCTGGGGGCCGGGTGGCCACCCCCACGCACGCCCCTTGCCCAGACGCAGCCCGGTGGCTGCAGGGTCCGAGGGGAAGCGCTGAGGCTGATTTGGTGGCACCTCACTGGGCGCTGCGGGAGCAGCTCCCATCCATCTCCTGCGAGACGGCTGCTGCCCACCGTCTGCCCCGGCTCTGCTGGGAGCTGAATCCCTGCACGATCTGGGACCCGGCCCTGGTGTGGGGAGCCCTCTGTCCCCATCCTCGGGTCGGTGGCAGTGGGCACTGTCCCCATCGGCGTTGTCCCCATCCCCGCATCCCTTTCTCAGGCCATCTACAAAATGGTCTCCTCCGTCATGAATATGCCTGAAGATGAATCGACTCCGGAGAAAAGAACGGAAAAAATCTTCCGACAGATGGATACTAATAACGATGGTAAATGAGAGGGGAAGGAGAGGATTAAGGGAAAGGTCTCATGGTTAAATCCGGGGGTCTTAGAGGGAGCTGTGTGCTCACTGATTAAATGCTGCACGGTAGGGGGGAGCTCTGGCAGTGAGGGGCTCGGGGTGCTGATCACACATGGGGGGCAGCCGGTGGGTGGGGGGTGTCCCCAGGTGCCCCCGTGTGCCTGGGTGGGGTGGTGGCTGCTGCACTGAGCCGTGTCTCCCTGCAGGCAAACTGTCCCTGGAGGAGTTCATCAAAGGTGCCAAGAGCGATCCGTCCATCGTGCGCCTGCTGCAGTGTGACCCCAGCGGTGCCGGGCAGCTCTGAGCCCCCCCACGGTCCCCACAGCCCCCTCCTGCCACCACCACTCGTCCCTGCCATCCCCACCTCCATGTCCCCATGGGGAGAGCACCAGGAGTGCGGGGCAGCATGGCAGAGCCACTGCTGCTCCTCTGATGGGCACAGGGACGCGGCCAAAGGGATGAACCACGGTTGCTCGCGGCCACCCCAGCACCCCCCAGCATGCAGACACTGCCACACCAGCCCCCTCCCCACAGCCAGAGTGTACGTGGGGCCACGGGCAGGGGCTGTGCTTTCGGTCTTTTAATACCTGCAAAATAAAGTGTGTGTCAGTGCAGTCAGCAGAGGGAAAAGGCTCTCCTGTAAGCTCTGAATCCAACCTTCCTTGCAGCAGTACCAGGGCAGTAATGATGGACTCACGTCCTGGCCAGCAGCGAGCAGCATCTGGCGCTCAGTGCTGCTCCATGGCTGCGCTGTGCTGTGGGGTGGGCACTGGGATGGGGACGGGTCCTGTGCCCCACTCAGGGCTGGAGATGTTTCTGTGCTGTCCGGGATCAGCGAGCTCACACAGCCCAGCGCCAGTGGGAGAGGGCTGCAAGGAGACCTGGAGATGGGGAGCTTTGGGTGGTCCTCAGGGGGGCACGGAGTGGGATGGCGACTCATAGAAATGCAGGTGGGAGCAGAGTAGTGTGGGGTGAGGGCAGAACACTGCAGAGCAGAGCATGGGGCCGTGGTGGGAGCTCTGGTGATGAAGATGTGGAGACCGGTGATGGGGAAGATGAAGACCCTTTGGTTGCTGCTGGGATCATGGTGGTCTGGGAAGGAGAGGGGCTGGGCACTGCGGCTGCATAATGCAGGGACACCCTGGGGATGCACCATGCTGGAGGGGACAAGGCAGTGCAGGGCAGCCCAGCACGCAAACCACTGCCCCTCTTCCTCGAGGAGATGCTGCAGGCTGAGATGTGCCCCTTCCCTCTGGTCTGTGGCGGTGCTTACAGACCCCCAAAGGCACCATGGGGAGGACTGCGCCGTGCATCTGCTTGAAGGATGGGCTGGATGCGAGGTGAAGGACAACCAGAGTCTTTATTCAAATAGTCCTTAGGACGGTTGCAGACGTACAGACACACATACATATTTACACTCGTACGCACCTCACAGAGCTTGAACCAATAAATTAAAACAAAAAGAGGGCGGGGGGCATGTTTTCCTTTATCGTTTTTTGTCACGTAAGAAACAGCAGCTCCCCGAGGCGAGGTGGGGGCTGCAAGGAGAAGCCACAGCCACAGCCCTGCCCCGGCAGATGCGATGACAGCAGCTTTGGGCAGGAGGGCACCTCACACCCGGGCTTCGATGCACTCCAGCGTGAGCATCTCGTCCAGCCTGCGGCCCTCAGCATGGGCACAGTGGCTCAGGTGGGCACTTGGGCTCTCAGCACCTCTGGCGCTGGGGGTCTGCGGGCAGGGGGCCGCGCTGCGGGAGCGGGGGGAGCCGCAGTCGTCCGAGGTGAGGTCGGGCACGTCGTCAGACTGGCTGTCCGAGCTCTCCAGGTCGCTCCGTATGCTCTCAGGCTGTGCCAGGGTGATGTCCCAGGTTTTGCTGGCAACGCAGTCCTTTTGCTCACAGCTTTGGTGTTTGCACGTCGGCTCCTGCTCCCCGTCCTCCTCTTCCTCCTCCTCCTCTCCGTCCTCCTCCTCCTCTTCCTCATTCTCTGCCATTTGGGTGTGGACGTGCAGCGAGTCCTCCGTGCTGCTGCCGCTGGCCAGCTGGTAGTGGCTCGGTTTGGCCTCGATGTCCACCTGGATCTCCATGTTATTGCACTCCCTGCACAAAGAAGCACCCCTGTGTGACTTGGCTGCAGGCTGGGGCACCCATGGGCGCCGCAGCGCAGCGCACGAGGTTCGTGCTTCCGCTCCTGTGCCGGCGCAGCACCAACGCAGCCAGCAGCCACCAGGGAGCAGCCTGCTGCACCCCACCACCCACCGCAGCGCAGGCATTTCCAGGATGCCCACGTCACACACCTGTCCTGCGGGTTGTAGGAGCTGATGATGGAACCGGCCATGGCCCGCGTGCTGGCGTTGTCGCTGATGGCCCCCAGGCTGACGGAGTCCTTGGGGAAAATCTCCTTCTGGACGTCTGCCTGCACCTCCAGCCTGCGGGAAGGGAGAGGGCTGCTCAGAAATGCCCCAGGTGGTCCTCAGGGGGCACCAAACGGTCCCTGTGTGCCACGGGGTGGATGAAGGATGTGGCTGCCCCATCCTGGAGGTGTTCAAGGCCAGGCTGGATGGAGACCTGCACAGCCTGAGCTGCTGCGGGCCACCCAGACCATGCAGGGGCTGGAGCAGGATGGTCGTTAAGGTCCCCTCCAACCCAAACCACTCTATGGTTCTATGGACAGCAAAAGCCTCAGTGCTGGCCCAGCTTGGCATAGCAGTGTTCGACACCAATGGCTCCCCTTGTTTCGTTTAATTTTTGGCTCCATTTAGGTAAGCCTATTTTGTTTTCCATGTCAAAGTTGAAACAGTGTTTGTATCCATGACTCATGCAATTCCTGAGAAGAACAGCTTTCCACAGAAGCAGCATGGAGCCGTGGCTCTGTCTTGGCTGCCGTATCAACACATCTCCAATTACCCAGCAGCCAAGCTGAGAAGGAAACCACGGTGTAAAACTGTAGTGCAACCTCCCGACTTGGAAAGCAGAGCCCTACATGAAGCTGCTCGGCCAGCACAGCCCTGGGAACCCCAACCCCTTCTCCTGCCCCATTCACCTGCTGTATTTCCCCTTGCCTCCTGAGAGCACGCCGCCGCTCAGTGTGCCGCCCGACAGTGCTGCAAAGCTGGCTGTCTCACTGTAGTTGCTCTGCATGACGCTGAGCCCATCTGTGGGGCTCCCACTGGTGCTCAGCACGCTGGTCAGCCCCTCGATGCTGCTTTCACCAATGCTGGGGTTCTTCAGGGCTCGCCAGGCGTCGGCCACTGTGGGGGAGGGACAGCGGGGAGTCAGGGAAATTCTTCACTCAGAGGGCAGTGAGGCCCTGGCCCAGGGTGGGTGCCCCATCCCTGGAGGTGCCCAAGGCCACGGATGGGCCCTGGGCAGCCTGAGCTATGGGCAGCCAGCCCACAGCAGGGGTTGGGACTGGATGATATTTAAGGTTCCTTCCAAGCCACGCTACGATTCTAAAATTCTATCTCCTCCTAGTTAAACTGAAGTAAGCTTATGTTCAGATCTGGGAGCTATGCAGGCCCCCCTCTCCTCAACACAACAGGCAATGAGAGGGTCCTGCTTCGCCCTCCCCATCACACTACCTGTGATCGGTCCGTCGTCTTCATCAAACTCGATCTTCACGCCCTTCCCATTGGCAGTGCTGACCCCGCAGCCCCCGCCGCGGCACAGCGAGATGGGCACGACGCCGTAGACGTAAGCCAGCATGATGGGCACCCCGATACCTGCAGAGTGAAGAGGAGCTGAAGGCCGAGCTCTGCTGGGCAGACTCTCTGGGCTGGGACTTCCAGCCCTGCTCACGCTGGAAGGGAACCACGCAGTGCCTGCTTACCAACGCTGACAGCAGCGATGACTGGAGAGGCGATGACAGACAAGGTGACCCCTCCAGTAATGGCCAAATTCCTCTTGTGCTTGGAGGTTTTCTTCCCCTCATACCTGCTGTGGATCTGAGGGAAGGACAGGCACTGGGTGAGAACGCAGACACCGGGAGACGCTATGAGCCCCCACCATGGGGTGTGCCAAGAGGGCTCCTCCTCCCAGCTCAAGGTTTGGGCACAATGTGACATCCAAGGGGATTCAACCGCCGGCCACTGCCTCCTCTCCCCATACAAAGCCCAGGAGATAAGACAGGGCTTAGAAAATGCAACCGAATTCGGGTTCTACAAAGAGACCCACCCTCCCTGTGAGCCCAATTGCTGCTCAGATGCCTGGAGCACACAGAATGCCCCGAGCTTGGATCTCTCTGCTCCCACCGCGTGCTTTGCCACCTTTACCTTTCTCCCGACATAGACAGGGATGCCAATGACCATAGCAGGAATGGCAATGCCAGCAATGAGGGAAATGCCTACAGGAGCGCCGATCAGCGTGCCCAGCTGCCAGAGAATCTTCTTCTTGCGACTCCATGGCTTTTTGCCCCAAAATGTACAGCCAGATGGGCTTAATGGAAGGAAGAAACGACATTAAAACTTGAGCAATCCCTGAGAAACCCTAAGCCAAGTTCCACAGGAACAAACCCAGAGCTTAAGGAGTAGGTGAACAACACAAAAAAGGTTTCTCCCCCATTATGATTAATCTGGCCCTCGAGATGATTATCACACCACCAGGACTGGTGTTCAGTGACACGGCCTTTAAGGTCCCTTCTGACCTCAGCCACGCTGAGTTCAATAACCCAGCACACCACAAAGCTCTCAAATGCCATCGTATCAGGAGGGGCAGAAGAGCCTCCACTCTACCTCAAGGTGGGAAGGAAGCCCAAAACTTTGGGTCAGAAAGAAGAGAGTTTTGCCAACGGATTCTTGGAGAGGCGCGAGGACGGGAAGCAAAGCACCTGAGGTAGTGCAGGTCGGAGATCTCCTTCATGCACAGCCAGCAGAACTCACAGCCGCACACCGCACACGTCATGTGGTTGCAGCTCCCATCGTTCATCTTGATGATGTAGGCACTGCAGCGCGGGCACGGCTTGATGTCGTCTGCTGCGGGGGAAGAGGGCAGGGGGTTGGAGGTGTGTGAGCACGGGGGGTTTCCTTGTTACGCCCGGAGCCCTTGCTTTGGATCACCTTTGCTAGCACAGAGGGTGGGGAGGGTACAACCAGTTGGTTGTGCCCTTGGTTTTTCTTTACTCTGAGAAGGCAACAGCGATGAGACAGCACCCACCAAAGTGATTTGCTTGGATAGAAAGGTCTGGAAGCAACAGCCCTTGTAAAAGCTCTCTCTGGCCTTGATGGGATGTGTTTCAGGGCATGCTTCAGTGCTGGGAACAACTCATTCCTGCTCTGTGCTAGCCAGGACAACAGGGTAGGTCAGAATCATTATTAAATTGCTTCACAAAGGT